TTCTTCCCCCCCCCCCGCGCGCGTGAGAGGGTGGGGGGGGGGGGGGAAGCAAAGAGAGAAGGGGTTTAAAGTTTAAACCCCTTCTCTCTAGAGTTGGGCTGCAGCGGCGGTGCGACTCTAGAGAGAAGGAGCGTGGGGGCAGGCAGCTGGGGGTGGGGTCTGCCGTCACCACCATTTCTGCCCACTTCTGGGCTGCCGGAGTGGCACTGCGGCACACTCCGGCCCCAAATGACCCCTGATTATATCCCCTCCTCTCCTCTCTAGTATCATACCAATACCATACCAATACCAAAAGGATATTGTAAACATATACCATTGGGACCTACAGACTGCACCCAATCCCCGTCAGCTCTGGAAGCTATACTCTTAGCCAGGGCTTTTTTTGTAGAAAAAGCCCAGCAGGAACTCGTTAGCATAATAGGCCACACCCAACAGCAGAAACTCATTAGCACATTAGGCCACACCCCTGACAGCACAGCTCATTAGCACATTAGGCTGCACCCCCATGTTGCCAGAAGTGTGGTCATCCAGCCACACCCACCTTTTGCTTGTTATTCTGTTTACCTTGTTTGTTGTCCAAACCCAGGGCCTTTTTTTGTAGCAAGAACTCCTTTGCATGTTAGGCCACACACCCCTAATGTAGCCAATCCTAATGAGTTCCTGCTGTTGGGTGTGGCCTATTATGCTAATGAGTTCCTGCTGGGCGTGGCCAACTCAGGAGCCAGCCGGAACTCCATTCCTGTGCGTTCCTGCCCCAAAATAGCCCTGCTCTTAGGACAGACGCAAGCCAACTCTGTTCTTAGGCTGCAGGTGCAGGCAAATTACTCTCCATGGGTAAATCCTCCTCCCAACCACAGCTGTCCACGGGAGACTGCCCCAGAGAACTCAGTTCATAGGCATGAAGAAGAGGAAAAACCAGATGGTAAACAAACCACTGTCCTTAGCTTGCCCTGTGGTTGGAGGCTGGGGCTGCAAATCCCACGCTGATGGCTCTCTGGCGGCAACGCTCCAGGCCTTGGAGTCCTTAGGCTCTTGGCTCTTGCCTCTGACCAAGCTGTGAGTTAAATAACAGTGGTGTCCCTGAAGAAGGCAGGCCGTAACAAGTCAGCAGAAGTGTCTTAAAAAGCTTGCTAGCTACTTCAGGGGCCGCAGGCTGCTTCCAGGTTCCCTGATTTAAAACGTATGCATACATGCACACCCATACACACAGAGATTTTGTCAGAGACTCTTGAGTAAGCTTAGCCATGATTGGATAAGACAGTAGGTCCTCTTATGGATTAAAATGTGGTTAAATGACAGGAAGCAGAGAGTAGACGTGAATGGACTCTTCTTGCAATGGAGGGAGGTGAACAGTGGAGTTCCCACCAGGGGTCATTTCGCAGAAAAAGAGGTGCAGGAAATCATTAGCATAACTCATTAGCATATGCCACACCCTCTGACATCACCGGAAGTGTGTCAGAAGGCAACACCCACCGCTCAGGCTCCACTGGACTGTTTTGGATTGCTAGATATTGGAGGGGGGGGGATGTGCAGATCTGTCCTCGCAGAGGAGGGAGAGCTTGTACCTGAATAAAACTTGGTCTTAGAGGTGCCACTGGACTGTTTTGGGGCGGGGGGGGGGCTCTGCAACTTACCTGGCTGCTTCTTGCTCTGACTGAGGGCTGCTGGGAGCAGGGGGTGGGGCTTGTTGCATGTGCCCGCCCCCTGGGCTCTTTACTGCCGGAGCTCCACTCCTGTGCTCTCCTGCAGGAAATGGCCCCTGGTTCCCACAAGGATCAGTATTGGGACTGGTGGCTTTTTAATTTGTGCATAAATGGTTTGGAACTGGGGTGAGCTATGTGGTAGCTGAATTTGTACATGATACTAAATTATTCAGGATGATGAAAACCAAGGCAGATCGTAAAGAGGTCCAGGAGGATTTATCTAAATTGGGTGTGGGCAACATTATGGCAAATGAAGTTCAATTTATTTACTTCATTTGTATCATGCCTATCTCCTCAACAAGGACCCATAGTGGCTTACATCATTCTCTTCTCTTCCATTCTGTAATATAAGGGAATTTCTGAGAGAGGCTGAAGCTTTGGCCACCTCATTATGGACATTAATTAATAGATCTTTTTTTTTTTTTAACCAGAGCAATACCCTCCAACCCCAAGACTTTCAAGTTTCAGTGTGTAAACTCTCCCTGACTTCCTAGCTTTTATGTTTCTGGGCACCATCCAGTTTTATTCCCAGGTTTTGACTTCTAAAGTGATACCCTCAAGGAACCTTTTTTGAGGCTGTGGGGTATAAGTCCAAGTTCCAAGGCCAAAGTGGTAAGATTCACATTATCGCCCCCTTTCAAAGGCATTCTGGGAGACAACGAAGAAAGAAAAAGTTGTTTCCCTTAGTAGAAAGGCCAGAAAAGAAGTAACAGCAGTGTTCATGCAAGATCCAAGAGATCCTCAAGGATATTTTTGTTTCTGGTTCGTTTTCCCCCCACAGATCCCCAGGAAAACTGTTTATGACCAGCTGAATCATATCCTGATCTCAGATGACCAGCTCCCGGAAAACATTATTCTTGTCAATTCTTCCGATTGGCAAGGAAAGGTAAAGTCACTTTGTGTTATCGTCACATGGCAATTTCAGACCTACGCCAAGCTCATCAGTGAGCTGCCTCTGAAATAATACTTTTGTCAGGTCTCCGGCCCTACCAGAAATCTTCCAAGCTGTAAGAAACAGGGTCTACAGTTGATTCTTTGTATGTGTTTAAATATTTTTATGCAGTGTTCAAATCTCTCTGTCTACAGATAGAGAAATGGAGATATAGAGATATGTAAAGCAGTAAAGTACAGGGGATCATACACTGTGGATCATATACCACTTTTATCATGAAGCTCACCCCTCGTTGCCTCCAAAACAGTTTCTAGGAACCTAGCCGTCCCTTGCCCAAGTGTTTTTTCCCTCACCATGTACAATGTGCTGACTACTTCAGTGTAAGCAAATTCCTTGTATACCTTGTTTTTTCTGTCTTTCTGGATTGGGGGGTTGCAGATTGATGACTTTTTTCATGGTGTTTCCATATGTTGAACTGTTCTTATGAAGGATTCAGGCGGGTAGCCTTGTTGGTCTGAAGCAGCAGAACAAGGTTTGAGTCCAGTGGCACCTTTAAGACCAATCCAAGTTTTATTCTGGGTATACCTAGAATAAAACTTAGTTGGTCTTAAAGGCGCCACTGGACTCAAACCTTGTCCTTATGAAGGGTTCAACATGCATTCCGATTGTTACCTATTAGAGTCTTAGTGTTGTTGTTTTTTTACAGTGAGTTAATTCAGTATGTATTGGGTGCATATTGAATAATTCGAGGTTCACTACACCCAAACACCAGTTGCTTAGCGCCTCTTCATATGTGGAGGCTCAGATCCTGAAGACCTGTGCAATTATCTGTTGGCCAGTCCACTTTATTCAGCTCCAAGGAAGAAATTTTTAGGTACAATCCTGGCCAATGTAGGCCTTAGCACCGTGATGGAAAAAGTTATATTTTTGCTTGCTGATGCGGAGCCAGAGTTTTCCTATAAGGTTGTCCTTTTTGCCTTAGGAGCAAAGAAAATTCGAGCCAAGCTAGGGTCAGCAATAGTCCAGTTAAGGATTTAAGTAGTATTCCACAGACATTAATGGGAGTTTTTCCTTTTCTTGTGAAACAAGTTTAAAATGTAACTTTCATAGTGTCTTAATCTAATTTTACCGACCTGTATTTTATTGTATATTATTTTCTACCACTTGTATTGGCCATTGGCCCTATGCAGTAAAATTGAACTGAATTGACCGGGTCAGTACACACGCACCCTGTGAAATTGTCAAGGTGTGCTGGCTTCATCTTATAAAATCTGGTTTACCTTGGGGATTCAACCTGTGTGGTACCAAAGAGACCACCAGCCCAATCTATAATGTAAGCCTCTTAACAAAAATTAGGCCAGAACCAGTCATATGATATTCCCAGACTCAAGTTAGGGGGTGTGGCATGCAGAAGGTCCCAGGTTCAATCCCCAGCATCTTCAGTAAAAGGACCAGGCAGCAGGTGATGTGAAAGACCTCTGCCCGAGACCCTGGAGAGCTGCTGCCAGTTTGGAGTAGACGGTACTGTCCTTGATGGACCACCAGTGGTCTGATTCATTATAAGGCAGGTTTCCTTGTGTGCTAATTGACTTGAGCAACAAAGGAACTCTGCTGTTGGGTTTCTTGCAACAAACTACTATTGCCCCAGCCCCGCCTCCGCAACTGGATTTTTAAATAAAGTGCCCTATCTGAAAGACTTACATGTCCATTTTAGTTTCTTTCAGATATCTTGCAAAAACATTCTCTTCCAGTCGTTTGCACATGTTCGTCTGCTGATATTCAGGCAGCTTTTAGCACTATCGTCTCCAGAATACAGAGATAGTAAGTTCTGGTTTTTATTTCATTTTATCATATATGCTTCCTGTTTTCAGTTATCTCCCCAAATCCTCATTTTATTAGGCACAGCATAGGTGTTTAAGCAGTAAGAGCCCCTGAATTCTGATATCAGAAGGTATGAAAAGTCACTTTCTTCTCCCTCTTCATAACCCTCCTCACAAAGAGGCCAAGCAAAATTCATGGAAGAACTGGTGAATATGACTCTTAAATTGCCTGCCTGGGCCTTCCTAGCTCACAAACATAATTAGATTCCTGGTGAGCCCTCTAGCGATATTTCCACCACCCTACAGCCTCTTTGTCTAGGCTGTTCCTGAAAACATGCTTGCTTCAGCTATACACTTACAGGCTGAAAAGGGGGACTTAGGAGACTTGGGGTAGACTTAGTCCTTCTTTTTGTGAAGCAAGAGCCTGCTTACTGAGTATACCTGGGTCTGTGGGCTCAGTTCTGTGCCTGATGTCAAGGAAAGGTTACCCCATAGCAGCCTTACTCCCTAGCAGAATTTCTCCTAGGCTTGCCTGAACAAAGATAAAATCCAGCATCCTATGTATGTAAGTGGCCGCACTGGGTTCCTTTCTCTCTCTCTCTCTTAAATTTTCCTCCTCATATTTTATTGATTTATTGATTTAAAGCATTTATATTCCCACCTTTCCACCCAAATAGTGTTCCCAAGGCAGTGGACAATGAGACATTAAAACATTAAATACACACACGCAATAATTAACAGCAACTACAAAAACACAGTCAGGGAAGAGCGACACTAAAAGTTTATAGGACATACGCCAACTGAAAGATAAAAGTCTCCACCCATATGATGACATCTGAATGCAACCACGAATCAAACTGAATAAGATCATGGCTGAAATGGAATGTGGTGGGACCCCAGAAGATCTTGGAGGACTGGGAGCAATCCCATCACCAGGAGTAGTTGGCAAGAATGTGGCCTCAGTTACAGCATCATTCCTTCATGAGTGACAGAAAGATCTAAGTGGATCAATACAGTTTCCTCCCTTGATCTCTAAGTGAAGATCATGAACTAAGGGTTCAGACTTAGATTGTTCTCAAAATTCTTATTCAGTGACTTGCCTCAAAATTGGGTGTTAAATTGGGGCAATAACTGCCTGAGACATGAAAAGCACATAATCTCAGTAGAAGAGGGCTGAAGAGTTGAATATGTCTCAGAGGTGTCCCTTTAGAGTGGCGCTGAAAATCCCAATCTTTAAACTACTTGGAACCTTTTGGCTTTCACTAGGCCAGGATGGCACAGATTGACCACAGTGTCACCGATCCCTTCCATTCAAGTTCACCTTCAAGTGTGGAAGGGCACTGTCAGTTTTAATCGAATAGGTAAACAAGATAGCACCAAACAATCTCTACTTAGAATTCAGAGGTGATAACCAAACTGCCCAGTGGCGTAGCCAGAAAATTGTGGTTGGTGGGGAGTTGGGAATCCGGGGAAGGGGGCAGGGGAGAGAGAGAGAGAGAGAGAGAGAGAACACCTGTTGGCAGCCGGCCAGTGTATTCTTACCACCTGGGCTGGGAGAAGGAGAGCCAGCCAGAATGTGCTATCTGCTGTGAAGTAGAGAGCGCACCAGCTGGCTCTCCTTCTCCTGTAGCAAGGCAAATGAGCGTGGCTGGCACTCCCACCTTTTGGGGCGGGGCGGTGGGGCATGGCTCCTGACTGAGTGGGTGTGGCCCCGAAATGCCCTACCGTAGCTATGCCCTGACCCCAGTTAAGCTGAATGGAACTGATTTTGTGGTTAAGGTGTGGAAGAGATGGTTCTTGGGATCTTAAAAATGTCTGCTGCTGCCATGGCATAACTTGTATAAGAGAAGTTGTGCTATGCTTGGACATCACCCAGTGTTTAACAGTTGGTCACTCAATTTTTTTCTAAATTTTATTCCATCTTGAAGATGCTAAAAATTGTCCTTAACTTTATATGCTTTTAAGAAACTGTTTATCTAGGTCATGTGGGCATTTGGCTAATTTCCCCCCTGGTGCATTCCATCTGAAATCAATCAGATTTCCTGAGTTGCAATTCCACTCTGTCCTTTCCAGGACCACTGAGAATATGGACAATGTAAAAGTAAATTAGAACTAATAATATTTTGCTGTAGAGGTCACATTTCTCTCATCATAACGTTCTTAAAGTTCCAACAAAGAAATAAACCAGTTAATCAACTGGCTCACTGCATCTTCAGCGTCAGTCTTCCCTTGGAAAAGAAAACATGTAGAAAACTAGAAACCAGACAAACGACTCCTATGCTGCAGTTACATACAAAAGCTGAGGTATAAAGTAGCAGCTAAGTAGGTGCAGACCTAGAAGCATCTGTTTTGAATTTGTCCCTTCCCATAAACCCACAAGGTCACAATCTGTTCTCTCCCCCTCTCCCCCCCCTCTCTCAACTTCCACCTTCCATCACAGGATTATAATGTTGAGAATGTACCCGTGTTTTGTATAACAGTGAGGATGTGAACATGTGTTCTCTCTCATTTAGCTGTAATTGCAACTCTCAACCTCCCAACCCAATTAAAATTGCAATTGCCGGAGCCCAGAATTACCTCAGCGCTGTCTTGAGGCTCTTCGTAGAACATCTGTCTCACAAAACTCCAGACTGGCTCAGCTACATGAGGTTTCTCATCATACCAGTAGGTAAATATAGATCTGTGTTTCATAAATTTTAGCTATCCCTATGAATCTGTTTTGCTGATGGCAGGTCGAGTTTTGCTGTGGAGGAGCTTGGCTCTTCCTCCAGGGGGGGAGTGTCTTTTCACCAGAGGGAGGCTGTGCTGTTAGCGGAACAAATCTCTAGTTCCAGCCCATGGTCCACCTCCGCTAATGTGTACACTTTGTGTTGGTTGGAATTGTTACAGTGATCTTTCGGAGGATTGCGGTGTGCTGTCTTCAGTGCTGACACACTCAGCTATCATATTTTCAGTCTCTGTGACAAAATGGGAAGGGGCAGAGAGAAAAAGACTAGAGCTGCCCTCGTCTATTAATATATCTTCTTAATGCTAAAGTTTAATTTCCTTTGTGAGTGCTGAGTTTGTGGAAGTACAGCATAGCTAAAGATCCGAACCCTCCAATCTTTAAATTTGCTGCAATTCAGGCTTCTCCCAACACAGTGGGAGTGGGGGATTGGTTTAGAAGCCCAATCCTAGAGTGGATTTGTATTCCACCACCACCACCATCGATGTTAATGGCTGCGGTAAGTTTGAATCGGTGCCGTCCTTGCGTGTGAGCAGTCTTATGAGAAGCTGGTGCGGACTAGTTCGCCAGGCATGGCTCTGGTATGAACCAAACAGATTAAGTGTTCGACTCACATCTGCCGAACACTTTTGAATACGGCAGGTTCAACTGTCAGACATGCTTGTGTTGAAATCTGCAGCCTCCGTCATCACGAGCGTGGTGCCGGGGAAGGGGGGACCTGAGACCCAGTGTGGTGGAGTGGTCAGAGTGTCGGACTAGGATCTGGGAGACACGGGTTCAAATCCCCACTCTGCCATGGAAGCTGGCTGGGTGACCGTGGGCCCAGTCACACACTCTCGGCCTAACCTACCTCACAGGGTTGTTGTGAGGATAAAATGGAGGGGAGGAGAGCAATATAAGCCACTCTGAGTCCCCACTGGGGAGAAAGGCAGGGGATAAGTGAAGTAAATGAACAAATACCTTGTGCCATTTTCCAAATGAAAATTCCTTCATTCCTCCCACATCATCTGGTAAGGAAGACACTGGCAGCTTAGAAATAAGGGCCTCCACAGCTGTAAGTAATGAAAAAAGCACATCTTTGTTTCATCTAGCTGGCCTTTCATCCCCTTCCTTACAAGGATTTTTCAGCTTTTCATTCTAAAAATTGAAATTTCAATTATTGTGGATCCAGTAGTATTCTACGGTTATCTTGAGCTCCCTGCCACAATCTTACGGCTCTCAACAAAAAAAATTATCCCTGTGATTTGACTAAATTGTACAGCAAACAGAGAGATTAACAGGATATGCCTTACCATTAGATCCAACGCTGCTGCTCCTGCATCTATGGCCGTCAGATGGTACACCTGAAAAAATAAAGCAACTAATAAATGTGTTAATAATAGGAGCAAAGGTAGCAATAGCCCAATGGTGGAAATCTACCACTCCCCCTACAACTCAACAATGGCTGCACAAGATATGGGAATACTTTCTGTTAGAGAAATTCAATATGAGTACTACCACAGACCCAGTTGAAAGAGAAACGTGGGAACTAATGAATAAATGGTACCCGATTCTAGAAAAACTAGACGTAGATAAACTCGAATGGGAATCCATAACAGAGACAAAATTTAAGCTACTAGCTTTAGGATCTTCTTCGTGGTCTCTGTGCTTCACACCAATGGGTCTAGTGCGCCTGCGCTGGATCAAATCGGTGCTGTAGCAAGCTCTCTACAAGGATTTTCGCGCCCATCCCCTCAGGCAAGCGCAGGGCCCACTGCGCATGCCCAAGGGGGCGGGCGCGGACATCCCACCAGTTCTTTTCCTACCGCCGCGTTGGAAGGACTTCTTTTACTTCGCTCCGTTCGGATCGCTGTTTTTTGCTCTCAGTACTTTGTTTTTGGTTTCTTTTAAGGAACCGCTTCTTTTTATTTCTTATTTTGTGTGTTTATTCAAAAAAAAAAAAAAGACTTTGTAGTTTCGTTTTGGTGAGGGGATTTTTACCTCAGACCTTCGGGTCTCTGAGGTGATTTTTTCCAGGCTGTTTAGCCTTTCCTCCCCCCCCACCACTCTTCTCCTTCCCCTACTTTTTCCTCATCACCGGTTTTCCTCCGTATGGAAAAAAAGGGAAAGAAGTGGGGCTTTTTCAAACGCTGTAAGCGTTGTGGAAGCAAATTGGCACCCCCAGACGGACATAATTTTTGCCTCCTCTGCTTGGGCGAATCTCATAAGCCAGAGACTTGTCCACATTGTGCTAAGTTCAGCAATCAAACGAAGAAGAATAGAGCTGCTCGTCTTAAAGTGGCGCTTTTGGAGTCAGCCCTCAATCCGGCACCCGCAATGGAAGGTCAGTCTTCTACACAGCGTGAGGCGATCGACACCGAACCATCGACATCGAAGCACTCGGCGTCGAAGAAGTCGGCATCGACTAAGGAGCACGCAAGTATTAAAGTTAAACCCGCTAAAAAGTCTGCTCCTAAACCGGATAAGGTTAAGAAGAAGGGGAAGGAAG